CAGAGCCCACGGTAAGCAGACAGACATATGCTCAACAATCTGTATTTTAGTTGTTTCAATTATCAAGTGACGAGTCAGAATTAATAATTATTAATAAATGATTAATTGTAGTTCTCATTCAGTCGAGGCGGCTAAACATAATAATACTTGTAGTGTCTGTAAATGAAGTTGCCCCTTGAAATGGATGTTCTTGCTCTTACACCGTGTCACTATGCTCAGTGATGGATGAAGCAGAAAAGTTGAGCAGCAGATCACATCCTCTCAATACGATGTTTTGTGTCCAGTGTGCTGACTCATTCATGCGTACTCAGCTTCTGGTGAATATTTGTCTATAAATCCAAAGCGAGCACTTGGGGAAATCTCTGCTTGATGGTGTCGCTGTTAAAAAACATTCCTAATATAAGAAATTATGCTCTTAAAACTGTTTGTGAATTCATGAATGCTGTGATTATACTTTAATGTATGTGTCACGACCAAACAGACATCCATTCTTCAAAGCGCCTGATAATCTACTAGAATAAATTAGTTCTAAAATGTTTGTCGTTCTAAAACTGCAATTATAAGACATCACTTATTCATTTTGTAAAATTGCATCAACATTTTTTTGCCCTTGTAAACAGGAGTATGTGCTGCAGCCCGATGGCACCGTTACTCCACTGACCAGTATGCAGAATTATGTGCTGAGTGAGCAGCAGGCGGGGGAGATCTTGGCCCAGGTACTTTGGTTTGTAAACATTTCACAACAGATGCATGGATACTTTCACAGTCTTGACTTGTTCTCTGTATGTTGTTCTGTGTATTTACCAGGTACTCGCTCAGCAGCAGCAGCAGCAGCAACAAAGGAAACGTCAGTCTGTATCTAAATCTGCTACACCCTCCCGCTTCGCCCTGCTCCCCCCTGTGACGCCGACCCCCGGTTCCGCCACCATGCATCTGCAGATTCTCACCGCTCAAGTCCTGGCAGACAATTCCACCGCTCCCAGCCAGCGCCGCTCCAAGCTGCCTCCTCTGCTGCCTGCTGTCGGCCGTGGCACCTCCGCAAAGCTGGGAGTCCTGGAGAACGGCGTCCAGAGACTTGAGTTGAGGTTGGCCCCTGCTGTGCAGGAGCTGCAACAGCAAGCTGAGGTGTTAGTCATCCACCCTTACGAGTGCTCAGAGTGCTCCCTTCTGTTCCAAACTCCAGAGGATTTCCTCCAGCACCAGGGGGAGCACTTCCTGGGCCAGGATAAAGAGAGTGGAGAGTCAGGGGTCATGAGTGGCTTCGAGGAGGTGCGAGGGAGAGAGGAGGCTACGGAGAAGGCGGAGGACATGAGGATCAGAGTGGCAGAGAAGAGAGAAGCGTGCTGGGCCAAACCTCAACAGTGTGAGCTCTGCCACCGCACCTTCACCTCAATCAACCGGCTGGCTGCTCACAAACGTGTGCATGAGCAGGGCACGCACGAGTGCCCAGAGTGTGGGAAAGTGTTCAAGAAGGTGACATCGCTGCAGACGCACATGCGAACACACTCTGGTGTGGCCAGGTACTTATGTGTAGACTGTGGCAATGGCTACACCACTGAGATGACGCTCATCATGCACAGGTAAGTGGCTCAGACAGCATCACATCCCAGATAATGATGAGCGGCTGACTAACACAACCTTTTGACTTTTTTCTGTTGCACCTTTTCTAACAGGAAGTCCCACACTGCAGACCCACTGCACAAGTGTCAGTTCTGCAACAAAACCTTCACCAACATGACCAAATACCTCTACCACCGTCGAACCCACCTCAGCCGGGAAACTTCTGGCTCACCCGCGTCTGCCTCTATGGTAGGACAATAACACCTAGGCCACACTGGGTGCAGCGTGTGACGGCTGCGTCGCCCATCTGCTGCATCTCGTGCGCGTCTGTTTTAACGGGGAGTGTGTCTGCTGCGGCGCCGCGATGTGAGGTTTCTGGTATGACGACTGAATTCCCTCGAATAAAACAAGTCCTATGAACTCAACTAAATTCCAGGACTCAACGGTATGAAGCCGCGCATCTTCCGGCATTTATTTTGAAATGTGTACAGGCAGTGATTCAAATATTTGCGACATATTCAACAGATAGACATCAAAACTGTGCTGGAAGCTCGTTTTCACTTTCACAAAGTAGTTAAGACCCCGACTCACTAGAAGAGCAGTGCGGGCCCTCGCAGCCAATCTGGCCGCTCTAGCCTGAAAACATGTTCGCCAAAACATTCCGTGATGCACGTTACTCACGCACCCAGTGTGGCCCCGGTGTACGAATATCCACAACCTCATGTTACGATTACATATTGATGTAACATATGATTGTTGTCGTATTTAGCTCTCAGCTCCAAGAAGAGCATCTCGTTCTGCCCTTGCCATCCTAGAGCGAGCAAGAGAAAAGAGAATTTCTCACACTACAAAAACCAGCCTGCTGACCCCTCTCACAGAAGAAGAGATGGAAAAACTGGAAGAAAATCCAGAGGAAAGTTCTCAGACAGAAGTGGAAGTGGAGAAAAAGGCAGAGGACAACAACATGGAGGTGTCCCCCCCACTTGAAGGTAACATCGATGTGCACGAGCGGGTGGAGGATGCCACCAAGGCTGGTTTAGCCACAGACACCGTTTCTCTGGATGACACCGATGCCGGCGTCACGTCGAGCTCCACTGGCTCAACAGAAGCTGCTTTACCTGAGTCACTGGAGAAAGGGCCTTTTTCTTGTCGTTCCTGCAGTAAGACCTTTCCCTCTCAGCTGCAGTTAGTTCAGCACCGACAAAAGTCCCACGTCACCGAGCGCAGCTTTGTCTGTGGAATCTGTGGCAAGTCCTTTAAGAAGCAGATCCACGTACGCAACCACATACGGACACACACTGGTGAGAAGCCCTTTCAGTGCTCCGACTGCGGCAAAACCTTCTCATCTCTAGCTAATCTAATGAGGCACAACCTCATCCACTCTGGTGTGCGCCCGTACCGCTGTGATGTGTGCCACCGCTCCTTCTCACAGTCCTCCAACCTCCGTCAGCACAGCCTGCTGCACTCCAACGCTGCAACGCTGTGCTGCCCTGACTGCCCCGCCACCTTTCGCTGGCCCACCAAGTTAGCAGCGCATCGCTACGCCCAGCACCCCGGGTCTCCGGCCCCCTTCTCCTGTTCTCACTGTGGGGCTGGCTTCCTGAGCAGGAGGCAACGAGACAACCACTGTCTGGAGCAGCACCCCACCCTGGTGCAGGCTGCTGCAGGGAGAGAAGTGGACAAAGATACGCACAACCAATCACAGCTGGGCAGAGACCTGAGCTCAGAGCCCTCCACCTCAGCAGAATCTGGGGATTCAACCAGTCATGTGCGGGGGGGTCTAGATTGCAACTTTTGTGGGAAGAAGCTCAACTCTCCTGCCAATCTGCGACTTCACAAACTGAGCCACCTTGCCTTAGGCCCCGGGCGACCGCGGTCCACCACAGGGAAGCGGCCTAAAGCTCACCAGTGTCCTGTCTGCGGTAAACAGTTTGTGTCTTCGTCCGGAGTCGCACTTCACCAGAGGGTCCACACCGGTGAGCGCCCGTTTCCCTGCCAAGTGTGTGGCAAGCGCTTCCGTCAGAACACGCACCTGCGAGAGCACCTGCGCACACACTCGGGTGAACGTCCATTCCGCTGCGAGGTGTGCGGAAAGGGTTTCATCCAGAGTATGCACCTGGCTGAGCACCGGCGAACCCACACGGGCGAGCGGCCGCATGTTTGTGCGCTGTGTGGCAAAGCCTTCAAGACCTTCTCCAACTTGAGGAACCACAAAAAGACGCACGCCAGGCAGCAGAGGCTGGACGAGGAGGCTGCTGCTCAAGTTGCCATGGAGACCAGCTCCGCTGTGACAGTGGTGGACTCTTCAGCAGTGGAGCTCACCAACAGGCAGCCTCAGCTCATCCAGATCCAAGCCTCAGATCTTCAGCAGGTCGGAACAGATTTTAACTCATTACAGAAAATACACAAAACTGTTTTTACAAACTGTCATACACACTAAGTTAATCAGAGTGAAACATTTTAATAAACTATAGCTGAAAGAGCAAGACGATGACATTTAATCATCACATGTAAATTCGATTGTGTGCCTGTTCTTTGCGGTTAGTTGGAACTTATTCTGAGTTGTGTTTCCCCCTCTAAGACACAAGGAACCCCTACCATCATGTGTAACGAGTTTGGGGAGACCATCGCCATCATTGAGACGAGCGAGGGTGGAGCGCTGCCTCTCGAGCAGGCGTTGGAGATCTATCACACAGCTCTGGAGAACGGCCTCGCCATGGACACAGTAGCTGTGGACGGACTTCAGCTCATCTGAGGACTTGTAGCAGCCAGACAAACTCAACTTTATCCTTTAGAGCTTTTGCTGAACTGATGAGAAAAATACTTGTCTGAATACCAACTTAAACAACGGCTGACTGAGTACTGTGAGGTTGAGTGTTCAGTTCTGAGTGAAAGCAGAATGCTGAGATGGCAAAATGCATGTTACGTTCAGCAAAAACACCAAAGTTTGTCTACTCCCCTCAAGCAGTGAGGGATCAGTACTGACATTATGTAAATTTAAGAATATGGAATTCATTATGAAGAAGTACCACAGGTTTGTGCCTCACGAAATTTGTATGATTTTATCATTTATAAGATGTGACTTTTCTTTTGTTTAAGATTTTGGTCAAAGTATTCTGTTGTAAATAAGTGAAATCAATAAATGTTTTTTCAAGATCAACATTTCCAACCTTTAGTCTCTTTACATTCATTTTAGCACACCCAGAGTCAACACTGTAGAAATTAGGCTCCGTTAAATACACAGGACCGAGACAAATAGATAAAATCCTTGAACCACTCTGTCCTCCGCCCAATTTTTCACATTTCCAGCAATAAAATCACTTTAATCCAACACCTATTTTTATTTGCATACTGAAAGATACATATACAAACCTTAAATTATTCATATAAATTCCTCTCCTGCATACTGGAACAGCAAACCAAGGAGTATAACACAAAAACATTAATAGTCATATTTATTGTTTTTTCCATGTCATGTGTTTTTACCGTCTGTAATGTGTCTTAGAAGTCAACATAAGTTCCTTATCAATAATATAATGAGTCTATTGACTCTACAGTAATTATTTACAGCACAACCAAGTCTTGCACAGACACAACCAGTATTACGTCCTACCAGTTCTCTTTTTGATTCGTTACCCTCCTCTCACTTACCACAGTTTATTCTCTCCACCTGTCTATGACGGAGGTCTGGAGAGAGAAATAAAGTGACAAAGGGAAGGAAGGAGGTGGAAGCATGTGTACAAATGTTGAGGCTATAAAGCGTGGGACAGAGAGGCATACAAGGCTGTCTAAAACATACTGCTTATTACTGTTGAACGAATTTAAAGGTCTGCATCGAGTTTGTCTTCCTCTTTGAAATGAACCATAAAAAATAACTGCACCACAGGTCCTTGCTGAGGCGAGAGGCCAGTCAAGGGAAGACTACAACGGAGGAACTCTGCAGGCATCGGATAAGCTTCCTTCACCTGTTTCCAGAATTATTACAAGAAAACTAGTACAAGAAATCAAGAACTGGCAGAAATGAGGGAAATGTCTGCCAGCAATGAGAATAGAACCAGGTCCAGGATCCACTATAATGATAGAAGGAGGAATTACAATAACCATAGGAATAGTACGACAACAAACTGAATATGACCATGTTAAATACAAATCATTAAAAAAATTCATAAAACTGCTTGGCAATAGAGGATTAAGGCTGTAGCAGCCTGACCTCTACAACAAAGAGCCAAGATGTGCCTGTTGATTCTAACCCACCTCCTTCCTTCATGGTTCACAAATGAGAGGCACAGGAATGCTCGATTCCTTCCCACTAGCATGTGCTCGAGGGTCAGTTGAGAGAAGGGAGGACTTGGCCAGACAGGTAATTGCAGGAATGATGGCACTGCCAGAAGTTCACTTAACGTTTGAGTCCATGTATCAGTCTGTCCTGTGTAGACCTCCCCTGAAGGTCCACGTATGAACAGTAAAATGGGGGAAAAGATCTTTCCAGGTCCGTAGCAACGAGTGCTTTTTGTCAAATCAAATGGTTTCAAGCTGTTGGAGGCCCAGCCCCCGAAAATCAGCAGAAACAAGACACAGGCTTACAACTGTTAAGTCTACATACAGGTGGAACAGATACTGCACTGTTTATACTCTTCTGACCCTATTAAAACAAATAAAACATAAAATGTCCTATTTTTTTTTTTTAAACCACTGACTTTTCACCGCCTCTGAAAGGCCTAAGCAGATCTCCGTCCAAAACAAGAACCCTTTCTTCCTTCGAGGCAAATGAGCGCAGCTGTACACAATGGTCCTTCGTTCACTGGCATCAATGGGAGCTTCCTCCAAGGTGGTTAATACAGAGTGCTAATTCAAGTGTGGGATATAAGAGTTTGCCATGTGTGTGTGTGTGTATGTTTTTGTGCCACTAGGTTTTTTCACATGTCCTTTTTTTGGTACAAGGGTCACACATAAAAAAAAATGTCCCAATGTTGCATAAAACACCTCTCACTCAAAGGTCGTCTGAAGAGAATAGAAAGAAAAAAATGATCTCATCAGAGGAGAGCAAAAAGTGGATTAAAAAAAAATGGTGTGAAAGCGCGTAGGGGTGGAAACATGTGACAGCAACAGTCACTGATTGGTCAATCTCAATTAGTCAACTTCGCTCATCTACAAGAGTCCTGCGAGTCACGAGGATCCTCTGGGCTCGCCTCTGTCCCTTGCTCCACTTCTCCGTCCTGCAGGTCGCCTCCTCCTCTCGCAGAACCTTCTCCTGACTGAGAGCCGGAGGGCCCAGGGAGGGAGCCGGCTGCGTCAGAGAAGCCCAAACCAGAGGCATCGGAGGGGGCAGCCGTCTGCATGATCTTCTGCCGGACCTCCCTGATCTTCAGCTGTAGACATACCTTGGTGGGAAAGATGTCCGAGTATCTTGTCTGGAAGGCTGCAGTGGCCTGAGCTGGAAGCAATACAACAGAATGAATAAAAAACTTGTTTCTGAAAGTGGAAACTCACTCTGATCAATTGTGTTTATAGTACAGAGTGTGTTTTTTTGTTTTACCTGAGGGGAAGAAGCCCTGCTCCTGGAACAGCTGCATGACCAGCGCTCTCCTCTGGTCCAGCGTCCGACGCAGAGATGAGTACGGCACTTTGTCAAACTCCAGTTCTGTCAAGATGTCTTCTCCATCTGTGGCTGGGAGTGGGGACAAATAGGTGGAGTGGTTGAGACTCCGGGAATCTGGTTACAATGATGAACATGTTTGTTTAGGTCTCAACAAATATGGGACATGTGTGATATTCAGTTGAGAGCAAAATACTTTGCTACACTAGGGACTCCAACATCACCAATTTTCCAAGTTTCTATATTTGTTCTAGCAAAACGTATTATTTTTACTTATTGAAATGATCACTTTTGAAATCACATGTCAAAGTAATTAAGAAAATCAATAAAGCGTCTGTAAGACATCAATAGTTAAAGTTAAAACAAAGTGAAAAAATGTCAAAAAACAATACAATAACAAACAAGTTAATGTTCTCCACCAACCCAGACCCATTATTTTATATTACTGCGACAAATCCTGCCCAGAACCAAGAAATAAACAGACCATAGAGATTTGAGGGATATCTAAAAAGACATCTTTCTTTGGTGTGTTACCTGCTCTGTCAAAGGTGAAGATGTCTCCCTCACACTTGGCGGCACTTTTAGGAGTGTTGGGCTCGGAGCTGCAGCTGGAGCGCCGCCGGCTCTTTCTTTTAGGAGAGACTTGATCGTCAGTGGCTGAGTCCAAATCTAGGAGCACAAATAGGAAGCAATCTTTAAAAACCAGCACATAAATAATATATCTAAAAAATATCTAAAAACCACTATACACAATGTGCAGCCTTCATCAAAGAGGAAACAAGAAATTCAACTGAGAGGAATTACACTAATATCACACATACAATGAAACAACAGTAAATATCAGCAGAATATAAATTCAGGATCCATATCACATCAGTGTATCATTGATCTAAAATCAATAAGCACTGAACAAATAGTTCTACCTCTGCATTTATAAACACAGTGAAGATCTGCTTTTTTATACACTTATGAAATGACCCAAAGGATCAGGGCTGGAACTAACAGTTATTTTCATTATGAATTCATCTGCTGATCTTTGTCTCAATTATTGGATTTATCTTGTATTATATGAAACAACATAAAACACAGACAAATCATAAAACATTACATGTTGTCGATCAACTTATTCATATATAAGTTTAAAGCAGTCAATAGACTTTTCACACTATCATAAAATGCTCTTGAGAGTGAGACCTGTAGAGTTCTTTCTCTTGCGGCGGTAGCTGCCCAGAATGGCGCGTGGTGACGTGGCCAGACTCTGCAGGGTGGGTGAAGGCAGAACCTCTTCAGGTCGAAACTCTGGGAGCTCGGCAAAGCGCTCCTCAAAATATACCTCTGACAGCACCCTGCCAGACCAACAAAGACACACACACAAAACGAACAGTATATATACACTCTCCAACAATCATTTCTGCAACAATACGTAAAAGATTCTCAAAGGTGTTAACTCACTTGTCCACAGAGTCAAAAGTCTTTTTCAGAGGAGGTGGACGGGCTTTGACCTTTTTAGGTGTAGGGCCATCTTTGTCAGTCTGTGGGGGTGGTAGTACAGGTTCAGTGGCTGATGGAGGAGGGAGAGGAGAGGAGGAGTGGGACTCCTTCCATCCAGTCTGCACAGAAAGAAATATTTCATAGAAAAATCACATAGATGTTAAGTGATTGTGTTTGAGCTAAAGGTCAGTGTGTGATGCTCCTCTCACCTCTTTGGCGGTTGTGCTTTCCCTGGTCCGTGTGTCAGACGGGTCCGCTGCACTGGAGCCGTCCAGGCCTCTGTCGGAGGACGGTGGCTCTTCGGCAGGATGTGTTGATTGAGGACCCGTCTGCCCCACCGGCTCAAGATCAAATGAGAAGTGACTGTTGGCTGCATCTTCCCGCTCCCTCTCTCTCTCTTTTTCCCGCTCTCGCTCCCTGTCCTTCTCCCGTTCTCGCTCTTTTCCTCTCCCTCCTCCTTCATAGCTGCCCACAGGAATGTTTGCCACGGTCGCCTTCACTTTCTGAGGGGCCCTGACTGGAAGCTGGGTTAGTTTGGATGTACCTGGTATGTTGCCTGCAAAGCAGAAAGAAAAAATAAATAAATTCACTCCAAATTACAATCTTTCCAGAATTACTCTTGGATAAAAATATATATATGCAGCGGTACCAGGTGTTTGGATTTGAAGTGAAGGACTGCAGGGCCTTATGGACACAGCTGAGCCACTGGGAGGTGCCACTGAGCTGCTATTGCTTGAGGTCTGCATCTGCCTCTCCAGCTGTCTGTCCGCATGTGTCAGCAGCTCACTATGTCTCTCAGCCTGCCGGTCAGCTTGTCGATCTGCAGGTCTGTCTGGAGGCAGGTGCCGGTCTGCCTGTCTGTCTGGATGCGGGTGTGTAATTGTGGCGGGTGAGGCTATGTGCTTGGGCAGGATGTGAGGGGACGCGCTGGAAGGGCTGGAGACAGAGTAGACCACACTGGGGGGCACTGCTGTCATGGAGACCACCCCCGTTGCCATGGTGACGCTAGGTGACTGAGGGTAGATTGCGGTGACTATCTGCCCCCCGGAGCCCGAAGCAGGGACTGACAAGGGGGGCTGTGGAGATTGAGCTGCGGCGACAAGCGGTGGCTGACCTGGATGAAGAACATAATTCAAATATTCTTTTATTTTCTTTTACACTTAAGTGATAAGACATGAATAAATATCTTCTTCATTATTAATAACATAACAAATGTGCTCCTGTGATTGAGGTTTCAACAAGGAGTCAGGTGTGTGACTAGTCTTACTGTTACAGTGGCGGTCTACTGAAAGGGATAAACACATCAACTACTGATTACCTAAGATTTTAGATTTAGATTTTTTTTAATTTAATCAACCCCCACAATAAACAGGCCAGCTTCATTTATGGTTGAATAAATCTGTTTTGGTCAAAAAGGCTGAAGTTGTGTTTGACTGCACTGTATTTGATGCATTTAAATGAAGTGGATTTTATTTTATCTGTGTTCATCGATGAAAAAACATTTCAGCTCACTGCACAGTTTCACCTTCACCCCTCTATTTTATTTATTGCTGAATCATATATAATTTTTATTGTTCTCCATTTTA